TTCCGGAAGACCCAAAACGGACTGTAGTTGCATGCTTGTAGAAGAAATAGGGAAAAGGGAGGGTACGAATCTGTTAAATTAAGGTTCTTGAAACAGTACTCCTCAAATATTTAGAAGAACGCAAATCTAATATCTCATGGTCGTACATCTATGAGGTGCCAGCTATGGAGGTTGCAGAGTTGCATATACGCGTATTTATTAATGAGTGTTAACGCATGCAGTTACATCAAGTCGCTTATGATAGTGCAGGTCTGAAGACTCAATCATCCCATTTTTCCAGTTATTTCTTTCCATCTACTCACTTTCCTGCGAATTACTCAACCGTGGGTGACATGTCTTTCATTGAATGGCCAGAATTGGCTACTGTAACCAAAGAGCAACGTTTTGAACTAGTAGTCAAAGATGCGAAGGGAAGAAATCCTCCGCTAAGCGATGAGGAACTTCAGAAGACCGTTTTCGAAAAGGTTGGGTTTTCTCTCACTGTTGTATCGTAGTATTCTCCTCTTACTAATTTCAGAATCCTCACCTCAATTTTATCAGCATCTCTGGGTCTGGTCTATCGCATTTATCGAGTTCTATAGTTGCTTGCGTTCAACTCACCAAGTTGGTGATTATAAGGAATGATTTGGTCAGCGTTCCGGAAGAGATTGGTTAGTTTTTACTGTTTTAATGTAAGTTTTTGAGTGCATAATCATTTTTCCCTTTAATTTCCCTTAGAATGTTTCGTCGCCGCAATGCTTTGTCGCTTAAAGATAGGCGCGCTCGAGGCGCTACTTTACATGACATAGTGCTTCTAGCAATATAATAAAGATACAAGGGCAAATATGGCGAAAGCCCACTTTCAGGTCCAAACATTCTAATTTCATAAATTATCGAAACTTAGGTACATTGACCAAATTGACCTTTGTCGATCTGAGCAATAATCATCTGGAGAGCTTGCCAGCCTCTTTTGCGAAACTTAGTAAAATGGAAACTTTTGTTGCATCTGGCAACAAGGTAAGCTTCACTAGATTACAGCCTTCTTTTCATAACATCGTTCCCTCCACATTTTTTTAGTTAAGTAATGAAGGACTGTTTGATTTCTCGAGTATGCACTCATTACTGGTTGTGGATTTATCTTACAATGAACTGACATCGGTACCAAAATCACTAACTGGCGGACAACTTGTGCGCTTACACACACTGAATTTTGCCCACAACAAAATCAAAGAGGTAGGATATTTTGTACCCTATGGGAGTTTATTACTTTGTGAGTTCTTAGTTCACTTTTCTGTGAGTTTTTTTTTTCCTTTTGCGTGTAGATTTTCAATAAATGCTAGAATTGAGGAAGTGTAAGGGCTTGCATGATCTGCATTGGCATTTGTTTATTTGAGTAATGTGATCTGCAACTGCACTACACGCACAGTCAAATGTGATCATTTATGTGCATGCTCGCGTTTGGAACTTCAATAACTTAGCTGCTCACAGTAAAAGGCGCTATATTTTAAATA